ATACATCTATTTAAAAGAGGAGTAACAGTTTCCTTAAGTGTGTTTGTATTAAAAGAGGAATACTGGAGGTTTTCATCTGGGCTCATGTGGAATAAAAGAGAATTGGAAGGGGCAAAATAACCTCCCTGAGGGCCTGGTGCTCACTGCCAGGTTGAGTCAGTCTTACCTCAAGCATCTCCTTCTCTTTTGCAGCTCTGTGACAAAATAGCATCAGTTCTTCTGTGACCTTGCTAGTTAGCACCTGAAGAGTCAAAAGGAAAATGACTTTTAATATGATGCAAATAAATGTGAGTCTCAGCTGTTTTAGCATCAGGAGAGAAGGGTGAGGGCACACAGACCCCTCAAAGCCCAGTTCAAGCTTTTCTTACTGTTGTCTTTTCCCGGCACACACGCATCTCTTCCTCCTCCTTTATGTTGCTGCCTGTAAGGAATTCAGGAGGTGCATTAGTGAACCTCTAACATACACATAACTCTGAGAACAAACAGCTTTTCAAGGTGACTTTCTACAGCAAGAAATACTAAGTTAGTTTATCCAGGCCAGGGCTTACTACAGGAAGCAGTTCTTCACTTAAGCCACAAAAAACTCCCCAAAACCCTGGAATTCCAGCAGTATTCCCCAAACAAGGAAGCAGAGTCTAAATTTCTTATGAATAGTCAAAACAGAAGGAAAAAAACCATTCTGGAGAAGGAGTACCAGGATGAAAGCAAAGTGCAAACTCCTTACCAGGATTGATGTTTCTGCTTTCTAAAATCGTCATGCAAGTCTCCTGAATTTTCTTGAGCTTCTCAACCTCATGGACCAGCCTCTGGTTCTCCTTCTTTAACTCCCTTAACTTGAGAGTGCCCTGGTTAACACAGGCTGTAAGTGAGACAAGTTCCCAAGGAGATTTTCTTCTCCTTAGTAATACTGACACAAACAAATTCACAGTAGTGCACTTGGCACCAAGAATCAGACATTGCCTTCAGTCTCTACCACCACAGCAAATGAGACTGTTGCAGGACCTTGCTCCTGCTTCTTGACAGGAGTAATAAATTTATTACATCCACACACCAGAGCAATTACTAGAAAAATCTGATCATGGGCAAATTCCTTTTAGGCAACTCTATCTTTTCTTGTGCTCCCTCATTTATGTAAACAATGCACGCACTGAGGAGCATATAAACATTGTGAAGAAATGTGGAGAGCCTGGTTTAAGCATGGCTTAAAGAAAGAGGCCATGAAGGTGTTCAGCTGAGGGAAATATAGAAGCCTGCTGTGAAGCAGCCTTTCCCAGGCTTGATCCTGTAAATAATTAGGTTCTCAGCCACCTTTTATATAAACAACAAGATTCTCAGACCGTTCTGTCCTTGGCTGCTACTGGGAACAGACAGCCAGTCTGGGAATAGATATGAAGGTCTTGAGAACCTTTAATATCATGGTGGGAACACTGATTTTGGTTTCAGTAAACTAACTTCAGGTATTGTAAACAAAAGGAGGAGCCGAAGTTTTCTCTACAGCCTATCAGGAGCTCGGGTTTTGCAGTGTGCATGAGGTGAATTGACGCTGTTATAAAAAGTGCCTGATTGACGAATAAACTGGAGTCAGATGCGAAATCAACAAAGGTGGTTGCTCCCTCACTTCAACAAAGAAAAAGGGGTCTCAGGTCTTTAACCCCCAGCATTATTCCCTACACAATCCAGATATTACCAGGCAATTGGATAAGCTGATCAGCCTCCCAGGTTGAATGCAATTCTCCAAGAGGATCAATAAGCATGTGGATTAGGGTGATCTGCCTGATAGTGGCAGAAGCTTTGGGAACATTTCATAGGAAGTCTCAGAGGCTCTTAAGAAAATCAAGCTGTGACGTGAGAGGAATGATCATCCCACAGACTGAGAACTGGAAAATAAAGTGAGATTTCACAGCTGTAGGTTCCCAGGTGGGCTTTCTGTACATGCCAGAAGTGGTACTAAGCATGTCCTAGAGATACCTCTGAGAGTCAGGGAATAATGAAGTGCCAATTCTGACTCTAAACCTGATTCCACAAAATCAGCTCTGTTTGAAACACAAGTCCCTGAACAGTCCCAGGTCTCTCAGCCTTTCCTTTCCTCCAGTCCCTCTGTGGCCCTTTCTTGGACTCTGTCCAGTACATCCATAGCACTTTTGTACCAGGAGCCCAGAACCAGACAAAACATTCCCAGTTTGGCCTCCCCAGAGCTGAGCAGATGGGAAAACAACTTGAAGAAGATGCAAAGACAAACGACTCAAACAATTTGTCCAGAAGAATACAAAGACATTCTGATGAAGACAAGAATAAAAGCAAGACAATCCTTAACATGATCCTGTATGGATCAGAATGCAGAAATTACTCAATAACTTATTTATTTTTCTCTCCTATCCTTACCTCTCCTCTTGCTAATTGTTGTTTGAGTGTTTCCACCAACTGATTCTTGTTTTTCAGCTCTGCTTCTAGTTGGTATCTGCTGAGAGGGCTGTGGAGTTAAAGAACAAAGACTCAGGGGCAAAACCACCAGCATTGCACACCTCCTGTTTCCCTTTGCCCTTTTTTAAGCATTTGTTCTGACCAACAGATTTAATTAGCAAGCTTGGCAGGAAAGCTGCACATGGGTGAGAGCTCATCACCAGCCTTCACAGGAGAACACCACACACAGCACAAGGACAACTAACAGAGGTGGGAGGCACATACCGTCTTGCCACTGTCTTCTTTGAAACTGGTTCCACTTTCTTTGCAGGCTTAGGCAACCTTAAAAGAGAGATAAAATAAAATTACCAGAAGACTACAATGTTCTTGCAGATCACCAAGCCTGTTAGTTTGACAAAATGTGCAAAATGAGCCATCTTTAAGACATCTGCCAAATAAATCCGTCAATATTTTGCTTTGATTTACCCTTGGTTTGCAGGCTTGAAGACGCTGTCTACTGGAACATTTGAGGCAAATTGAAGACTGGGAACCATGCTGAGCTCCGGCTCTGATGTGCTGACATGTTTTCTCGTTGAAGGAAAATTCATTTGCAATTCTGCGAGAAAAAAACAGCTGTGAAAACACCACAGACTGGAAGTAACCTCCTTTAAGGTCTCTTAAGCCTTCAATTTGAGGTAAAGCAGTTATATCTGGCTAGAATGGAGACTTCTAGATAGAAGTATAGGTAGAAGTAACTAAGAGTAGACTTCAACTTTTACCCACGGCCAAAGGTCCAGAATAAGCCAGAAACAGGTCAGATGTAGACAGTGTTAAAACACAATCACCAGGCTAGCACTAATGAGAATTTGAAATGATAATACACAATAAAGAAAGTCTCAACATCAAGCAGACATCGTGCCACAAGGTTGTTGTTCAATGCTGAAAGCAAAACAAGCACAGCCCACATGAAATTCTGTTAAGAGACCTCCATATTTTGCTACGAGTGAATAGCTACTAAAATAACACAGAAAACTAGCTTTTTATGTAGAGTTTATTTCTCTTGAATCACAACTGTTTAAGTATATAAAGCTTTGTTCACTCAGTAAGTTTAGAAAGCTGCTTTTTCTCCCTCAAGTTAAGTATTTTTCAAATTAAACACCCATGCGCACATTTACATTAGAGCAACGCAGAGTTTCACCGATACAGCCCAGCTCCCATGTTGTTAACGCTAATCCTGGGTGCCTTCCGCTTATAAAATGCTACAAAGTGCTGTAAGCAGCATTTAAAGATTTAGAAAAGTAAGAGACTGTGAATGAAGCATCTTTCGCATCAAGGGGCCGCTGCCTTTAGCCGGTGGAGGGTACACACGGCAGGCTAAGCGTTAACTTAAGTCCTAAACAGGGACCAAACAGTGCAATAAAGCTTCCAATTAGATTTTGGAACAGCCACCACGTAGCCAGGCAGGGATGGAGCACCCTAACGCCGGCGCTCCGCTGCACCCCTCGGCCGAACCCCGCC